ACTCTCTTGGTTGTAGCACCGTGATTATTAGTATTGCTGTTCGAGGAAGGTTGTGCTCTTATGACGCTGATTCCGGTTAAACACGAAAGTGCACCTTTCGGCCGATGCGCACATCTTGCCAAGACTTTAATTAATATTGACTTCTGTCTCTGTGAGTGAATGATTTTTTTAATACAAATTTTGTGAAAATAAAGATTCATTGCTGCGCTCATTACCGTATCTACGTTATTTCTACTCGGGGGAGGAGGGTCAAAAGTAATGTTCGTCGTGACACTGAGGATTACCGAAGTTCCTTGGAGAGAAGGTGGGGGTGTGATTGAAAAGCATTGGACTTGATTGTCTCGCTCTCAGGAATTGAACTTAACTTTATCTCAACTGAAGTAAAGCTTTTTTTATATTAGCTAAGTGCAGTACTGTTTTACCAATGCCTTGTGTGTTCTGGTTCTGATCATTCCATATCTGTCGATTTCAATGAAATTATGCGGTTTTAATGTGACTTTGAAACTATCCTGAGCTTCAAAAGTGGAAGGTTCATTTTGGGTATTAGCCGGTCCTCGAAATATGTTCCTGATCATGTCTCTCCACGAACATTCCCCTGTGTTCCAATGCGACGTGAATCTGTCGAATGATATGTTGAATTGATTCGTATAGAGATGTGTAGTTGAGCAAATGTGTAAATGGGAGGAATCTTACTGAAACGTCTTTTCACGGCTCGGTATGCGTGAATGATTTTGCGACTTCTACCTACACGTTACGGAGTTTCTTGATTTACCGAAGAAGCACGTTACTCATGGATATGAAGGGCGACACCTTCATTTCACAAATTCATGTGTTCATCCGAGGGAAGGTAACTATCTTCTGAGACGGACGTCATCTACCTCCCTTACGATGGTTCCTTGGGTTTCCAGGAATCGGGGGTTTTCACGTTTTTGTCAGGTGGACATATGTCACGTGAATCGCATTAAACTGCATTCAGGTAGGCTGAGTTGGAAAAAGAATTATGCTATCGAAGGAAATCAGGAGAAGCAGCTTCATGGGGAGCCTGAAGAGTTTTCCATATATACTTTCCCAACTCAAACCCTATCCCTTAAGTCAGATGTCTCACTTTCCCTGGATGCAGCTCTTGCTTAAATCGATCCGGAATGTACGTATCTAGTACAGTGCAAGATGAGTTGGAAAATATCGGACTAGTATCCAAACAAAACTATTTCTAATACCATTTGATGTGAAGGTGATGGATGATGACCAGCATGGAATTTCAACTCCATTGCTTCCAATGAACTTGTGGTTTTTTATTTTCACTTTGCATGGGATGGCTGCTATTTGAAGAAATCCTAATTGCAGGGGCTTTGAATCCCAGCTCTTGAAGTAATTCAACTCAACTCGCATACTTATGCAAAAGTATAAAATTCTGTATGTTGACTGAAAGTAGTATTTCAAATACAGTATCACAAAATTGACTGAAGCCTTTCAATCTGATTCAGGGAAACCTTCACTTCATTTTTTTCATCTTACGAGCACAAATAAGATCTTTTTTGAATTCTCAGCAGTTTGTGCATTTCCTTCAAATGGCACCATTAGCCAAATGTGCAAGAAACAAAGCATCATGAATTGGATATTGTAAAAGCTGAAATTTAGTTCCGAATGTTCGTTGTTAAAAATTTATAAATTGTAAGAAAGAGTTGAGAATAAAGTAGCAAATTTTGCTTTGAACTGGGATCAGCAACTGCCAAATGCTGCAATTTGTATTTCTGAAATTTTGTTTTTGTTATCAGGGAAGGGAAGAAATTTTATGCATTTACACCAGTAGTGCAATTTTACATTTTGGGATGCTTATTTCTCCCTTTTCCATTCTGATGTGATGGAATGTGTTTGAATGAATGTGGGTGGGGAGGGGGCTTTGGAATGTTGCTTGAAGCTTACTGATGCTGAAAGGCAGAAAATAAAGCTTGTTGTTCAATTCAAGTATTGGAAATCACTGTCTTGAACTTCTTCTTCACATCTATATTGCCATCACACTTAAACCCCATTGATTGTTACAACTCTCTTTACCCAGAGAATTATTTTTCTTTTGCATACATTTTGAGTCAAACATTTTTTTGTTCACAAAAAACTCCAAAACAAGTTTCTATGTAAAGCGTCTTGTATGACTAAAATCTGATAACTCCCAGACGTTCCCAGAGTTAGCAATAGTAAAATCAATGCAAAAAATGACAATTCCAGTAAGAGTCCTATACAGTACTTATTCCAGGAAGAGGAATCATTGAGTCATCTGTGATTTCCGAAGAGATTTCAGGGACACCAGTCTTTTCCCTGTCATGTCATGCTCAACTTGAAAATTTTATATTTATCTACGAATAAACAGAAAGCACATCGGACTTCGAAGATGAAAAATTTCGAGATTTTGGCTGAAGGAGAAAGTTTGGTTTTGATATCGTTCGGTTGTTTTTCAACATAAACCCTCAGATGCAATGTAAAGTACAGTATTACATCTGCCTACCTTATTTTTGAAAAAGAAATTGAAATGAAAATTGCCATAAGGGCAACAAACTGCAGGGATATTGAAAAAATCGGAGCTCCATGAGAAGTATTCAGAATTGAAAATTGCCTAGTGTTGAAAGTTCTTCCGCATGATGACATTCTCCGGTTCCAACTTTTTTTTAAAACGATTTCTTTTGTGTTATTCGATTCATAAGTTTTGAACCTTTGAATGCCATGTAAGATGTAACACAGTAGCTGAATCAGAGATTTTTCATCAATTTTTATAAAGGGCGTGCGTAGGTGTCGCTCTTACGAATATGCAAAACACACTGGGTGCCCCTTCGACGCACCGAGCGGCACCCGCGTAAGAAAGAGTTAGTTTCCAGTCGTTATTCCGAGCAACTGGGATTCCCGCGTGATCTTGCAGCTGTTCGGCTTCACCGAGCATCTCATGACTCAGAATTGTGCTGAACGTAGAGGGCCTTTTATTAATTTACATGAGGCGATAATTACATGTCATGAGACGAGGAGGCACAATGACTACAGTAGTCCCTATACAGTTAGCGAAATGACGTTGCTTAAAGTTTAAGCAATGTGAGCAATCAAGTACTGTAATGCATTATTGTGAGAAGAATGGGGCTTTCGCAAAACAATCCTTTTTCTGTCAACGAATGCACATTCGGTGAAGCTCGAGTTGCGACATGGCCTTTCATGCAGCAGAGCTGCAGATGAGAATCGAAATCTGGTGTCGTTGAATTTAAAATATTTTGAAGACCTCTTTTCTCGACTTTTCATGGATACGCACCGCGATTTTTACGGATAATATGCATGATGATTTCCTGGGAGGGGGGGGGGGCGAAGTACAGTACAGCATACTCGAGCGAATACTAAACAGAATACTGTGCATTGAAATTATTTTTGCGAAAACCTAAAATACCACTGGACTTCCATTTGAGGTTGTAACACGAAATAATCAATTTTCCTGTGTTCCCGTGAACGCTTACCAAAAATAACAGAAAATACATCAATATGGGCGATTACATCCGATTTTTCGAATTAATCAGGAATAACTCTCCTGCTGATACCCGTTTTAATTTAATTCAACATTTGCAGCAAAAACACTTCGGTGAGAATCAGATTAAAACCTGTATCGCGGATTGGGTTCCCGTAGATGCACGTGCATGATGGAGCGAGACTTCGTTATCATCTTTGCTGATACTGTACTTTGCACCCATTGTACTGTAATCTGGTTGATGTAGCTGGGAAGTCAAACCAGAACTTGTTTTTTATCGGAACAAAAATGAGACAAAAACATGCTCTCGTTTGCATTTTGCTGAGCGACTCTTGACGATCGTCAGTTGAGGATTTGTCTCAGCGCGAGACAGTTAAACCTCGAGTTTTCCGACATTTCGTGCCTCAGCATGGACCCGAATTGTCCCATGCATGGGTGAGTTTCTTGACAAACATCAACAGTTTTGCTTATACTAATACTACGAGCGTGAAATGAGCAAGTGTTGGCTGTCGTGCTTTCAGTTCCCGCAGCTTGATAAGGCAAAGCCAGTCCACGTTGATTTTTCGCTCTTTTATTTAAGAGATTCAGTTCGTCCAGCTGGTCTTATTTTTTGGGTTGCAGAGCCGAAATCTGTTCTGTATATGTATCTCCTAATATTCCGCGCTCTGGTAGGATATAAACTGTAAATGTTGAAAAGAAAAATTTAAAACGCCTCTTGAGCCCCCGTGTTGATTCGTTTTATGAAGCGCCAACATGTTTTCGGGAATTTTTCAGGAAAGGAGTGTTAGCCTGGTACGCAAGCCAGACGTATTCTAATCATTTTCACGGAATTTCCCTCCGAATTTTAGCTACAATGCTCAGGGACGGCCACCGGTTTGTCCCTTACACGGGGCATCAGGAGGAATGTGGAATGGAGCTTTCGCCCCTTTCGGAGATCGAGTGGAAATCGCTCCTTCACTTGGTCCAAACTCGGGCGTTCGTCAACAGCCACCACCTTCGAATTCGTATTCCAGGCCCACGGTATATTCCAATCAAACGCATCAGCCGATGGCTCAGCAGCAGACGCGGTTCCACAACAACTTCGGTGCCTTCGCACCAGAACGCTCGGGCGCTTCCATCTGCACCGCATGCGGCGGCGTAAGCCAGGCTTACGGGAACCACGAATTTGACATGAGCTTCCCGGACTTTCCGAGCGAGGCGCCCAGGTTCGGCTACGGTGAGCAGCAGCCTTCCTTCGGCTCAGGCTATCGCAGCGGGGCGCAATCTACCAATCCGAGCGCAGCCAGGGTTCGCTACGGCGGGACCGGGAATTCTACCGGGTTTGCTGGGGGAAGCTCGTACTCCAGGCCTGGGGCCAGTTATCCGCGGAGCAACTCGGGATCCGGTGCCAACTGCGGGCCGAGTGGATGATAGAGCGCTTCGGCTCGATTTCGGCGCTTTACGCGTGCTGTGCGAGCTTTCATGCGCAAGCTTTCGAATTCACTTGTCCCAACTGATGACGTTGGCGAGGTTCAATACGTTTTTGTACGCCCGCTAACAGATGCGAGGTGGATTTCGTAGGCTTTTTGTTCTGTTTTTTTCTCTCTGAAAGTTAGCGTCATTAGTTCGACAAGGTTCCTGACTGGAGTCGATCTGTTGATTTATCGTCCAGAAGCATTCGCAGGAAGAATCGAAGTCCCATATTTCGCGTTAACGTTGAAAGTCGCCGCACCAAACTTATATTTTCGAGTGTCGCAATGTTTCCCAAGCTTGATTTTAGAGGTTCATCGTTGATCACGTTCGCTCTGAAAGCCGTTGGTTCGTACCTGGCTGAAGGAGGATCACTTCTGCTTTTCATTATGTACCCGATTGTTTACCATATCGTGGGTTCAACGGGCAAGAAACTGGAGGCCTTGTTACGTCTCTTGAGCTTCCGTGGAAACTTCAGCTAATGCAGAGGGGGCCTGGAATTCATTCAAGGTATTGTTTGCCGAAGAAGTCCCACGAGTTTTCTTGATTTTTTCAAAAATGTACGCACATATGAAACAAGGGAGAGTAGCGACATTTAAATTCCCATGGAGAACCCTCATCTATTTTACGGCAGGATTTAATTTTCTGTCTCTTGGATCAGTTTTCATACGATTTCGGTTGCGCAGACGTTCTTCGTTTATGGAGTTACAGATTACAGATACATAACGCACGTCGACGAACCTATGTCTTAATATTCCACGCTCTGGTAGGATATAAACTATAATTGTTGAAAATAAAAATTTTAGAACACCTCTTGAGCCCCCGTGTTGATTCGTTATATGAAGCGCCAACATGTTTCCGGGAATTTTTCAGGAAAGGACTGTTAGCCTGGTACGCAAGCCAGACGTATTCTAATCATTTTCACGGAATTTCCCTCCGAATTTTTTATCTGTAGTATCTGTAATCGAGTGAGCACGGTACTCGCCGAATCCCAATTTTTTTCATTTGTACGTTGAACGGTGAGCAGGGTTTTTCGTGATAATTTTGAGCAGATGACCATTTTGAAGCTTTGATGTGGTTTATAGTGGCATTCTTTGGTTCCGCTCGAATGAGGAAAAATAAAATCGTTCGAAGTCCAAGAAGTGTTTTAATTTATCAGGTAAGGATTCTAACAGATTTATAGAATAAGCACAGTGAATTTTTTTTATTTACGCATCCGTGGACCCTCGGGTCCCAAACCCATCGCCTTCCAGTACTTCCGTTCATCGACGACATCCGAACGCAACTTCTTCCGATTCGCGATATTGTTACGTATGTGTACAGCTTCCAAGTACAGCTTTTGTTCCACGGAGTTGTAAACCACCTGTGAAACACTGCGGATTTGTCTTCCGATCTTGGGAATTACCTCTGTTGAAATAGGTGGCCGTGGAACTACAAGGTTGGCCCAAGTCGTTGGCCATACGGAGTTCTTAACTCTCCCGATCCCAGGACCAGGCGATGGGACGTACACTAGGGGAAAAAGGGAATAAAAATTTCAAAAGTGGTACCCCAGTCAACAGGCCCTTATTTGAGCATCATTCGCAACACTAACACAAGTAAATTTGTTTCTCTGCATCATATTTCCAACTCCTTTTTTCATTTGGTAGTGGGAAATTCAATTTATTTTTCAATTTTTCTATGATTTTCAAACCAAGATAGCAAAATATATAAAGATAAATATATAAACATAAATATATATACAGTATATATTTTTATTTTAATGGAGATCTCCTAGGAGCTTCGTTTCAATTGTTATTGGAATAATTTTATTTGAGCAGAATGAACTGGAAATTTCTGAATTTTCATTTTTAGCAAGGGCTGAAGTTCGATTTCATCTGAGACTTCAATCGTAAATGTTATGAAGCTTTTTATCTTTAAGTTACAAACAGATCCAAGAAGTAAAATATGGAAAAAATTTTATCGCATCACATCAGCATCTAATAAAGGAACCGAGTCGCCATTTAAATTAAATGTATAGTTCGTGACTCATTCAAGACACTGCAGGTATCAGTCTTCCTCTTGGTGTGGGTCAAATCTGTTCAAGTGAGGCACCTTGAACAGGTGCCTCACCTGTTCAAGGCATAAATATATGTACAGTATTTATTTTTAATGCACAAAACGTGTTTGCAGTTGCGCTCACTTGTGCAAAATTTGAAACCACTCCTGCATGTCCTGCCGATGAGGATCACCCCTCGTCTCAGGATTTCTACTGACGATGGGTTCTCGGAGATATTCTTGTACTTCACGTCTGTCGAAAGATGTCGAAGAGTCCCGATTGAATCTCCGAAATTTAAGGATGATTTGGACGTTCCGAATCTGTGGCACCGATGCGCTTGAGTATTTGAAAAAGTAGGAGACATGTTGTGATGATCTCCTTCCAAGAGTTGTTCCCATGGCCGTAAGGATGAATTCTTCTAAAAGTCATGAAATTGAGTAGTAATGACGACAAATTTCTCCTTCGTCGGGTTCACTTACCGGAAGTGGGAGAATTAAGCGGTTTGCGACGATCCCCACGAAGGAACTTCGTAGGTCCTTCGTCAATCGCGCCATTGCCGGTAAATGATCTTCAATATTGGGACTGTGTACTTCCGGAAGATTGGATCCGTTGTTATATGGGTTCTTCGGTGAATCCAGATGGAATTTCCCACTGACCAGCTTTTTGTAGTTTCTACTCCGGTTCCTTACGATGTGTAGAAGGGAACGAGCAGCGTCTGCCATTTTTATGACTCATACGTGCGAATGGAGAAACCGAGGAATTTTGAGAGTAAAAACTTTACGAAGAATGTGGAATAATACAGAAAAATTACCCGAGTGTTGAATTAGGTAGGATTTGCAGCATTCAAGGGAATCCGATGGACACCCATGGCACCCGTGCTACGACCTTCACTGGAAATCCCACATTTATTTCGTGTTTCGTCGAAATCAATGCTCATTGAAAGTTTCTTTTCCCATTTTTTGAATACTACAGCAGAAAATGGGACGTGCAGACATCTTCATTTGGTTCCCGTAAATAAATTTGAGCGATGTTGTGTCGGGAGGTTTTCCGGGGAAGCAAAAGTTGTCGGAGTTTCCGCGTTTTCTGAACAAACAACTATTAATTGAAAATTGAGAAAGAATGTTCGAACAATCCAGTGTATTTAAAACTTGATTTAGGAAATTGTATCGAAGTTCTGCTTACTTTGAACCTCTCTACCCCCATTGATCGATTGCTTCAACCTTCACGAAAACTAGCTTAGGTTTATTTTGGACCCCCCTTTCATCTGCTTCGAAGCACTTACGAAAGTTTTCTTTTTTAACCTGTCGATCGCATCCTAAGATCTCGAGTGGTGCAGAATCTTCTGAAAATATTTCCGTCAATGTTTCAGTTTTCAGGAGCAAAAAAAATCGCTTTGGCATGAATTTTCCAATATGATTTAAGAAGAGTCCTTAAAAGGTAAAGATCAGGCGAGAACGACGTTTCAGAACGTACACAACATATCAGGCACGAAAAAAAAACGGTGGTGATTTTATTGTCATTCCAATTTGATTACTGTACTCAAAAAGACGTCAGGGAAATTGAATACGGTTTAAATTGCGCATTCTTAAAAGGTGATTTTTTTTATCCATATGAGAAGGTATCGTCGACTAAAGAGAGATGAAAACTACAGTATTTCCATATCAATTCTCGAGTGGCCATGGAATGCAATTACTGTACAGTACAGTACGATGAAATCATTCATTTTTTAAAAGTTGAATGATTCTAGAGTCGAACGTTTACCGGGGTTTTTCAGCAACAACTTTAGAAGGTATACAAGTATTTTATATTTTTAATATACATTTTCTGATGGATGGCCTCACTAATATGAGAAAGAAATACAAGTAAGCTTCATCGTTGTACACTTTGCTGACGTAACATGGAAGAAAATCTGCAAACTAATTCCTCTCGTAGAGTATTATAGACTTATAGAGTGTAGAGAACATCGAAAACGACGAATGGAAACTGTTTTCAATTAAGGTACAGTGCATCATGCAATGGTGCGACATCTAAGATCGAGTGAGAAAACCTGTGCATGCCACGCATTCTGAAGATTTAATTTTCGTATGAGCCGCTAGTAGGAATTTCAACCTCATCATGGAATGTACGTACCGCAGTGTTGGCGTACCTCTTCGTGGGTACTAAGTACCACCACAATCGGCTTTAATAAGTCGAATTGCTGGGGACATTCTTCACGTTTTCTTGACTTCTTACACGCCACAGCAACGCTTCACGTCTACCTTCCCTGGAATCAGGTGTGTTTCACACTGAATCCGAGCTAATTTTTTCTCTCTTTCTATTAGTCGTCTTCCAGCTGCAGTTCAATTTCAATTTACTTGACTATCGGTGGAAAAGCCTTGTAATACGAAAGGACGAGAACGCGACATCGCAATACAATATTTTTTTTTCAAATGACAAGACAGCAGTTTTTAAAATGGATTTGACGTTCAATAACCGGCGAAATCCAGGGGAATGTTGTGAGCTCTCGGGATTGCTCGTGCCGACGTCAGCGCAGTTCGTCGACCCGCTCCGCGTCATGAGGAGTGTAGGGGCCAGTTGTGCTTGTCAAACTCACAACCAGCGAACCACACTGCAAAAAAAAAAACCGGTGGCGATTTTGTCGGTCAATTCAATTTGATTAATCAAAAAGACGTCAGTAAAATTGAATACTGTTTAAATTGGGCATTCTTAAAAGGTGATTTTTTTTTATCCATTTGAGAAGGTATCGTAGACGGAAGAGAGGTGAAAACTACAGTATTCCCATAACAATTCTCGAGTGGCCATGGAATGCAATTACTGTACAGTACGGTACCATGAAATCAATAATTTCTTTAAATTTGAATGAGTCCAGAGTCGAACTTTTACCGGGGGTTTTCAGCCACAACTTTAGAGGGTATACAAGTATTTTATATTTTTGCTATACATTTTCTGATGGATGCACTCTCTAATATGAGAAAGAAATACAAGTAAACTTCATCGTCGTTCACTTTGCTGACGTAAAATGAAAGAAAATCTGCAAACTAAATTTCTTCGCGTAGAGTATTATAGACTTACAGAGTGTAGAGAACATCGAAAACGGCGAATGGAAACGGTATTCAATTAAGGTACAGTGCATCATGCAATAGTGCGACATCTAGGATAGAGTGAGAAAACCTGTGCATGCCACGCATTCTGAAGATTTAATCTTCGTATGTACCGCTAGTAGGAATTTCAACCTCATCATGGAATGTACGTACCGCAGTGTTCGCGTACCTCTTCGTGGGTACTAAGTACCACCAGAATCGGCTCTAATAAGTCGAATTGCTGGGGACATTCTTCACGTTTTCTTGACTTCTTACACGCCATAGCAACGCTTCACGTCTACCTTCCCTGGAATCAGGTGTGTTTCACACTGAATCCGAGCTAATTTTTTCTCTCTTTCTAGTAGTCGTCTTCCAGCTGCAGTTCAATTTCAATTTACTCGATTATCGGTGGAAAAGCCTTGTAACACGGAAGGACGAGAACGCGACATCGCAATACAATATTTTTTTTTTTCAAATGACAAGACAGCAGTTTTTAAAATGGATTTGACGTTCAATAACCGGCGAAATCCAGGGGAATGTTGTGAGCTCTCGGGATTGCTCGTGCCGACGTCAGCGCAGTTCGTCGACCCGCTCCGCGTCATGAGGAGTGTAGGGGCCAGTTGTGCTTGTCAAACTCACAACCAGCGAACCACACTGCCAAATGAACCACTGGAGCTTCCGAAGTCTTGAAGTACAGTGCAGTAATTTGGGTTCGCTTCTTTGTTCCGAAATTAATTCAGTCACCTAAAAATATGGCACGAAATCGGGTTGACGAATGCAACTTACATACATGTACAACAGAACCTCAGTTATCCGGGATAAGTGACCGGGCCCCCTTCCCCTGAAAAGCTTTGAACACCGATCAATTAAAATGAAATAAAAGCTTAATCGAGGATGAAAATGATTATTTCACAAAGATGGGAATGTGATATTGTATTGCCGACATTCCCGAAAATCGCAAAGGGTACTGCATTCCCACTACAGTACTATTAAATTCCCCGTTTACTCTTTCAAAATGGGCTAGCGAAATTCGTAATCGTGAGAAGTTACCTTCCATTCTTCTACGCGCTATAATATACATGTTTAGTCTTTAATTACTTCTGATGTTTGATGCTCATCGAATTCATGTCAATTTTACTGTATATGCATTCACCCAAAAATTATTCATTGACTCTGATGAAGTTACTTATACAGTACTAAAATGGTAATAAAGGCCTGACGTTGCATACTTAAATGTCAGGCCCAACTGCAATTTTCCGAGTTATAAAATCTCTGGTTTCTTTTGCCAGTACAATCAAAGACTAGCATGTACGTGTAATCAAAAGTTTCGTAAGCACATCATATAACATGAACTATTTCAATGGCATAAACTGGTAAAAAACACTCGCGAAAAGATCATAAAGCCAAGACAATAATTGCATTAGAGGGGAAAATGAGCTCAAATACAAATTTTACGTGCAACTGTGCTTCCAAAACCTGTTCAAGTCTTTAATCAGATAAACCGTTATTAAACGCTGGAAATATCAAGGTTATACTGTATATTATCTGAACATCCCAACCATGATGTTGGAAAGAAAATTATCGAAAGCTTCGTTGCCGATGGACACAATAAATCGGGGCCAGATGGAATGCTGCTTTTTTTCAAGTGTACTGTACTGCCCTACCATTTTTCCCGTCGATAGCACAGTTATACTCACGAAATCATCGCTGCAGTTGCGATGTAAACGCCTGTCTTCATATCGACAGGTACCGAAAGTACCGAAAAGAGACTGATCTAGGCTGCAAATTGATCCGTGTTCAATCTTCCCCTCTTCAAACATTCGTGTGTGAGCTGTATTCGGCTTTCTCCGCGTCCGTCTCATCTGCGTTCAAAATATTCAGCAAAAATAATATAAGTACCGAGCGACATGAAACAAAATAAATGTACGTTTCGTGAACCGTTTGACGCTGATGTTTCGAAGAAACCGCTCGCGTTTTTCCCTTTGAGCAGCATATTCCCCACATTGAGTTTCGTATACCTCTCGTCATTCACTATGCGATTCCGGTGCCATTAAATGATAAGATTGACATTAAAAATCGATCAGAAACTCCCATCATGTTCGAGTGCTCGGAATGATTCGCCGGATCAGTAAGGTAAGTTTACGGGGAGATCGATGACCGACAGAGTCGACTAATTTGATGACAGATTTGACTTGATGACATTTGGGTCGGAATCAAATTCATGCTTCTTCAGGCCTTTTCCGCCGAGATTGTGCATTTTTGAGCTTCGCTATTTTGTCTTTGGTCTTCATTCTCTTGAGTTCACGTGGGAACAGCGGGCTAAAATTGAAGACGAATTCACTTGGTGCAGCATGAGAAGTACAATCGTTCGTCGTATAGTTCAATCCGTTTTGAAAAGTAAACCAATCACAGGCACATTGATGGAATCAAAGTTGTGTTTGCATCATGTTCATGAAAAATCTAAATATTCAAGACGAAGGACGATTTACGCCCTGATATGCCCACTAGAATCTGAATGCGGTTTAATTTTTAAGATTTCGTCATGAAATTAAAGTAGAAGCGTGGCGCAAAAAAGTTTCCGAAGGGGGAATCCTGGCGTTATCGAAGTGAAAGCTGCATGTAATTTTCCTGAGAAGAACAGGAAAATTTTCTGGCCTTCCCCAGAAACTCCTATAGTGGGATTAATAGGTCGATAAATAGAAAATACGACAGTAGATGGAGAAAATAATGGTAGATGTCTTCCATTTTCACCCATTTCTCATGCGCAAGCACACCGACGCTTAGAAGTCGCAT